GGCTTCGGGTGGGATGGGCTCAATGGCATCGTCAAGTGCGAGCCAATCCGCCCTGAGGGTAGTAGGCCATTCACCTTTGAATGACTGTGAAATTTGAGGGAGAAGAGATGGGGTTTGAGTGACAGGTGGCGGTCTTCGGTGGTTGGTTAAAAGTCTTGTCACAACATTTTTAGGGTGCGTCCTGAGGTGTCGAGCTAATCTTGGAGTCGTACTTCTGAGCATTCATCTAAAAAGATGTTAGTAACCTAAATCATGTCATTATGTCGAACGGAACTGACCCGACTAGTTGGTAGGGAGTAGGTTATCGATTTGACATTTGGCCAAGTTGTCGACTCTTACGAATATTCGGGAGCGTATGGCGGCACTTAAAATCACATAAATAAACGAACACAAATCCGCTAAAAAAACGCGATATTATTTATTCACTGATCAAATTATAGATCCCATATGACTCTAGGAATACAAGCAGACTGGGAGGAAAACAATTTAATATCTAGGACGGGAGCCGGAGCGCTTCGCTCTTCTACGCATAAGGATCCACCAAGCAGCTATCACTCCTACCAGGAAAACACCGCCAACGATGCCACCGACGATGGCACCGACTGGAGCTGGGGAGGACTGTTGCGCAATGGGCGCAGACGAGTCCGTCGGTGCATATGGAACTATTGCCGAGGAGATGGTCGTGCGCCCACTTGCAGTTGCAGATGCTGATACTGTCGATGCATTGGAGATATTCGGGCGGGAAATAACACTAGAGGAGAGGTCAAGAAGACGCTCCAGGCTGTACCGAAAATAGATTTACGTACGTTACTGAATCTAGATTGAAGATAGTGGTATCGGCCGCGTCATTGGATGATTTCTTGAATGTAGCGTTGTGTGCACCGGTTTGTAGGCCCTCAACGGCGTAAACAACCAGCATTTGTTCGTCCGGGTTATACAGCTTGAACGGGCCTGAGACTACATTATCCAAATATACTAGAAAATCGGCTCCACTTTGAGAGATTACAGATGTAAGTGTTATACCAGTTCCTATGAGAAGCCAAACGTTAGAGCCTATTCGAGCAGAGGGCGCCGCAACTTGCCGTTGAATAGCACAACAGCAGCACAATCATTGCAACTAGTCTGATGAAGTGTTTGGTTGTATGCTAAAGCCGAATTGGTGATCGTTTCCCATGGTGTAGTCCCATTGGGCGCAGTATAACTGTGTTTTTACACGATCAATATCGGTACTCCACTCTCCCAAAGCACACGAGTGACTCACGTGATTAACGAGTCCGTGTCGTCTACAAGGCGTGTCTCTCCATTATCTCCTGTCGGTGGTGTATAGGACGCTGATGGCGCAGGCGTGGAGGGCGTGGAGGAATTTGACGGTGGTGTTGAAACTGAAGACGACGACATTGGGAGGTTGAAAGTGGGCGGCTGCGACGAGTTTGGGGCGCTCTCGTTCCAACCAAATAATTTTAAGAAGGGATACCTATCAGTGACGAGTTGGAAGAGGTTTAAGTAGAGAGCTCTACCAGCCACGCCGGAGGGAAGAGGCAGGAACAATAACAGGGACCACCACACGTGGCTTGGCAGGCAAAAGCCCAACGATGGCTCTCGACTTCCTCACTAGGAGCTCTACCAAGAACTTTTTCTATGTATTTCAATGCCAAGATTTACACACAACAATCTATTTTTCCATCAGAATGGATAGAAACTGCGATGAAAAAGGACCCTCGTGTAGAATGGCAGTCGCCACATCCGCCGCCTTCAAATTGATACCCAGCTTTTTTTTAACTGCGCCTCGCGTTGTCCATGATTATCCACAATCCCATGCTAGTGGAGGGAAGGTTGTCCGTCGCCCTAAACGAAGCAGTGGTAATCAATACGCGGAGGTATGCAGGAGCGCTAAAGGGAATAAAATTTTAAGCAACTTGGGAGGTTGATCGTAAGATCACAACGCGGTCTTGAGTAGGACGAATATAGTTGCTACTCAGAATACTCACCGCACTCGCGATTGCCATCTAGGCATTAGTGAGGGCCACCCGCCTACACCCAGCGGCCACGTTGTTGTCACACAAAGGGACTCATGAACAGAGCGCGAATAAGCTTTCGTATGTCGTCATGACCTATACTTGCTGGTTAGTCGAAGGCAGGAACTTCAAGTCGACCCGTGCTGTATTCGCTCGTGTTCTAGACAAATGGTGATTTAAAATTAGGTGTGCTTGAAGTTTTTGGACGCATTTGTGACGTTTTGGGCCATGAGTGCTTGTTGGGCACCGCCGAAGGTTGGTTTTGTGGAAGATGTCGACAGATGGTGGCTGTTCCTATAAAAATCAATCAAAATTTTCCAGGAAAAATCCGGTGTGCTGCTTACACAACAGAAGTCAATTAGAACGCCGGTCAAACTTTTGTGCAGGGTCGCGTGTTCCCCAGAGCAGATGTACCGGGCTGGCCAGGAGGACGATGGGACAGATTTAGGGTACTCTGTCAACAAGCTCAGGGAAGTTACTGTTCACAAAAAGGTCATGGAGATCAACAAGGGATCGCTGGTGCCATATAGTAGGACTGTTTGTGTCGAAGCCTCGGAGGTTACAACACCGACCATGCTAGAAAAGGGTAATACAACGCAAGAGATAAGATTTGATCACCTGAAGACACGTATAGTACCTTCACACTACTCATCTCCACCGTTCATCGAACCGTACGCTGCTTCGGAACGAGGCTAGCGGCATTGCAAAACGTATTGTACATAAAAAATCCCATATTTTCCGGCGTATCCTTCAGACTTGTGAATAAAAGTCCAGAATACCTCGTCGTTCAAAGCGGATGGCCTCAAGTTGGATTACGTCGAGATAATGGCCGACCCTAGGTCATGTAATCCTTGGAGCCATCGCCAAATACTCTCGCGACTTGCGGCTGACTGCTATCCATTCTCAACTAGTGTCGGATTAGGAATGTAATGGGTCTACAAGTCATCGTGGTGCTAATGATATACGTAGCTTTGGCGAATTAGTCGGTTAATGGCTGGAATGTCACCCTGATCATAAGGTTTCTTGAGTGCCTCAGTCGCATCTAGCTTCTCAGCGACGATGATGAATAGTATGTACAACGTAAATAGAATGAAGTTAGGACACGCAAACTGTTCTGCACTCGTATACAGTACTCACCTGAGAGATTCTTAGTGATAAGAGCGGGTGTAACTGTGCAGCTAAAGGTTAATTTTTGTCGACTATTTGTGTATCTTGATAGAATAGGAGCATGGCTGTCGGAGGCCATTGGTGGGAGAGGTTCAGTTCAAATTCGTGTATAAGCGTCAAGGCAAACCCTGTCGTATACTTCGACTTCCCTAATGAGTCAGGAATGTTCGTCTCACGTAACGCTTGATCTTCATTCTTCAAAATCGTAAATTACAATACACTGGGAACACCCTAACGAACAGCTACATAAAGGGATGAGCAAGTTATTGAAGTTGATTAAAAATGATGCAGTCACAAACAGTACCCGTAGGAGTCTGAGTAAATGCTCAGACCTCGTCGGCCATGGGTTCTACTGATACCTTCGCTACATATGGGGCATGATTCTGCAAAAAACCTTCTCTGGAGTGTTGGCAGCTAAAACTTTTTAGGTGGTCGGGGACAACAAAGATGAAATGTTGCTTTAAAGGGGAGATTGGTGGGGAAAGGCGCAGTAGAAACTTTTCAAGTCCTTGATTAATGTCGTGAGAACTGCCTCCTGCAAACTGGAACAAATAAAGGTCTCCGTCATGGACAATGAATGAGTCGATTGCGACCTGATTGTTCGACCATGGAACATAGTAAACCAGCTCCCTATGCTCAAGTGGTCCAGTAGAGTCATATTCAATTAACCTGCTTGGCTTGATAGTGAGAGATAGTTTTTGAGTATCTGGGGCTGATTTAAGGGCTTTCTGCAATTCTGGGTGACCGGAGTAGTCACTGAATCGTGCGTGCCAACGAGATCGTTTGTCTGCGGTTCGTATCATAGGCATGGCTTCCAGTTGGATGTTTCTACTGAAGACCCGCTGAAAATGTGCCTCAAAAAGAAGACCGAATATCCCGCCGGGTGTTCGAGAGAAGCGCAGCAACATGTCACAGAGTTGCTTATGTTTGGCGTTCCAAAGTTTTGCACGAAGTCGATAAGCGATGCCAGGGGTAATCGGCTGGATAATGCGCGATCTCATGTTATCGCGTTCGGCACGTCGTGCAAGGAAGAGCATGCTTGAAGCCTCCCCCATGGATAAAGATTGGGTTTCATTCACTAGCTTTTCAAGGAATTCTAGAGAAATGACTTGTTGAATTTGTGTATCTTGGGCTTGGTACCAGGCATCCATGTTGGCAGGATCGGGTAGAAAGCAAAGACGGGCAATCGGACCCGCGGTGTTGAAACGCTCTTGTATTTCCCTGATATCGTGGTTGGTATATAGTTTCCCTGCTCTGTAGATCATGTTCAAATCAGTCATTAAAACTACAGATCCAATACCACTTACG